AAACACTTGAGTTTGGATATTCAAACACTTCAAACATTTGGATACACAACAAGGAGTTAGCAGGTGATAGCATTTCAGAGGCTATCATTTGCGAAAATGTAAGGCTATTGGATGAAGACCTTTCAAAGAAAACCCATGGAACAAGTGATGCAGATACGAAAGAGTTTGAGTAATTTAGAAAAAGAAGTGGCATTCACAGTGTTGTGAGAGTTGTGAGTGTTGATACCTGCTTGATGGGGTTCTGGGAGTTCTTATACTCCCCAAGCCCGGCCCGAGGCCAGGCTTGACTTGTGAGAGTTTGGTCCACCAGGCTGTTGCTTGGAGTGGCCCGCAGGCCCACATACCCACCACAGCCCGGTTAGTCCGGCACTTTTTTAGAAAGCAGTCTAGTTTTCTCTTGAAGATGTCCATGGTTTCTTCCATATCGTTCATTCCAGTACGTTGTTATTTTACTAGTTAATTTGGAACCTGGCTTTCCAGTATTTTCCATGTGTATATTATTTGGTATCTCTCTAGTCTCTTTTCTAGTGAGTACATTTGTAGAGCTTTGAGACGATCCCAATAATTTAGGTGCTTTATCGCGTCTATGCGTGCCGTATATGTTCTCTGCATTCCCTCTATTTCAGCAATCTCTCCTGCTCTGAAGGGGGAAGTGAGTACTGAGCAGTACTCGATACGGGACAACACAAGTGACTTGAAGAGTACAACCATTGTAATGGGATCCTTGGATTTGAAAGTTCTCGTAATCTATCCTATCATTTTTCTAGCTGACGCAATATTTGCTTGGTTATGCTCCCTAAACGTTAGGTCATCTGACATCATTATTCCCAAATCCTTGACATGTTGTTTTCCTACTATGGGCAGATTCAATTTTGTTTTGTACCCTGTATTATGTTTCAGATCCACATTTTTGCCATACCTGAGTACCTGGAATTTATCACTGTTAATTTAACATCATGTTATTTTCTGCTGCCCAATCGAAAACTTTGTTGATATCTGTTTGTAGTTTTTCAATGTCTTCGGCAGAGGTAATTTTCATGCTGATTTTTGTGTCATCTGCAAAGGATGACATGAAGCTGTGACGTGTATTTTTGTCTATATCTGATATGAGAATAAGGAACAGCAGTGGAGATTTTAACTGCGCTTGGACTCGATTTTATTTGATTGACTGTTACTCTTTGTGTTCTGTTCGACAGGAAATTGAGTATCCAGCGTCCTACTTTACCAGTTATTCCCATTGACTTCATTTTGTGTGCTATCACTCCATGGTCACATTTGTCGAATGCCGTGCAAATTCTGTGTATACAACATCTGCATTTTGCTTTTCTTCTAGAGCTTCTGTGATTTTGTCATAGTGGTTGAGTAATTGTGCCAGACAGGATCTTCCCGCTCTAAATCCATGTTGTCCTGGATTGTGTAACTCATTATTTTCCATAAAACTAGAAATTTGATTCCTAATCACTCTTTCAAAAACTTTTATTATGTGTGATGTTAGTGCAACTGGCCTATAATTTTTTGCCAAGGCTTTACTACCCCCCTTGTGCAACGGAGCTATATGTGCAGATTTAAGTGCAGCTGGTATCTTCCCTGTATCCAGGCTCTTTCTCCATATTACGCTGAGTGCTCGCACTACTGGTACTTTACATTTCTTTATGAATATTGAATTCCACGAGTCAGGCCCAGGAGCTGAGTGCATGGGCATATTGTCAATTTCTCTTGTGTGTGTGTTGTGTGTTGTGAGTTGGTGGCGGAACACAGCGAAGAACTGACCACCAAAGAACTCTTAGCCCTTCACACGGATCAGCAACAAGAGACAGCTGAGGAAATTTCTTCAGGAAAGGAGGAGGCAGTACAGAATGGCCCTTCCTCAACAATTAAGAAGTGGTGTAGACTATGGGAAGAAATGCAAACTTTTGTTGAAACGACTCACCCAAAGCAAGCTGTAGTAGGCCGTTGCCTTAACCTATTTAATGACACTGTGATGCCTCACTATAGACAAGTGTTAAGACGTAGGGAAAAAAAATCTGTATGGAAAGGTTCTTAGTGAGGCAAACAAGCAGTGAGCCACAACTAGGTTCTAGTGGTATGCAGGCAAAACATAGGAGAGAGAGTATCCCAGAGAAGTCATCACTGCCTGATGTTATAATGGAAGGGGACTTACCTTCCAAACACTAACACCTCTCCTCCTTTCCCCCTCTTCTCACGGTCTGCCATATGACAACAAGAGTCATCAATATAAGTAAGCTATAACTTGTACATACTAAAGTACTAAATATTTGTGTGAATTAGGTATGAAATCTATTTTGAAGTTAATATTTTTGGGAGTGTGGAAGGGATTAATTTAATTTACATTATTTCTTATGGGAAAATTTGTTTCATGTTGCGAATTTTTGGCCTACGAACCGTCTCTGGGAACAAATTAAATTCGTAATCAGAGAGGCCACTGTACTACAGTCGTATACAACTAGGGGAATGTGTTTTTGAGTGTTAAAGGGTTGAAATAATCCTCAAAACAGCAAGACTTGAGTACCTTCAGATTCATTTGTTACATCACTACTGTTAAAGGTTAGTGGTTTTACGTTATAGTAAGGATCCTAACTAGTTTCATGGCATATTCCTTTCATTTGTAATCCAGTTTAGACATGGGATAACTTTCAACTAATAGGCTAGTATAGACTTGGAAAATTGTTTGCTGTTTTTAGATTAACCCTTCTGCTGCTCAGCTATTAATTAGTAGCTCATGGTAATAGTAAGTAATAATTCAGGCAGTGTTATTTAATGAAGTTGACTCTTGTGCGACCTTGTTGCTCTACCTTGGCCTGGGTGGCTGACCTGCTACGAGTGCTCCAAGACCATGTTGCTCTACCTTGACTGGGGTGGCTGACCTGCTACAAGTGCTCCAAGACCATGTTGCTCTACCTTGGCCTGGGTGGCTGACCTGCTACAAGTGCTCCAAGACCATGTTGCTCTACCTTGACTGGGGTGGCTGACCTGCTACAAGTGCTCCAAAACCATGTTGCTCTTCCTTGGCCGGGGTGGCTGACCTGCTACGAGTGCTCCAAGACCATGTTGCTCTTCCTTGGCCGGGGTGGCTGACCTGCTACGAGTGCTCCGAGTCCATGTTGCTCTACCTTGGCCCGGGGTGGCTGACCTGCTACGAGTGCTCCGAGACCATGTTGCTCTACCTTGGCCGGAGTGGCTGACCTGCTAAGAATGCTCCGAGACCTTGTTGATCTACCTTGGCCGGAGTGGCTGACCTGCTAAGAATGCTCCGAGACCTTGTTGATCTACCTTGGCCGGAGTGGCTGACCTGCTAAGAATGCTCCGAGACCTTGTTGATCTACCTTGGCCGGGGTGGCTGACCTGCTAAGAATGCTCCGAGACCATGTTGATCTATCTTGGCTGGAATTGCTGACCAGCCAAGAATGCTCCAAGACCATGTTGCTTTAACTTGGCCGGGGTGGCTGACCTGCTAAGAATGCTCCGAGACCATGTTGATCTATCTTGGCTGGAATTGCTGACCAGCCAAGAATGCTCCAAGACCATGTTGCTTTAACTTGGCCAGGGTGGCTGACCTGATAAGAATGCCCCAAGACAATTTTGCTCTACCTTGGCCAAGGTGGCTGACCTGCTAAGAATGCTTTTTGTTGGTCAACTCCTGCTGACTGGCTTCCAACCTCAACACACCTACATGAATACACTAATCAGAATGTATCATCTTCATTAGCCTAGATTGGGGCCTTCTTAGAGTTTGCATGATGTCACTGGGGTGATTCGTCCCTGGATTGCAGCCAAATACTGATATCGAGGTCAGATTCTGACATTCTTCTTGCTCACCTGACTGAGAACCAGTCCTCTCCATTGAAGGTGGCGGCATCATCTGTGAGCTATGTACAAGAACAATAAGATTTCCCTGGCCATTAACATAACCCAACATTGTACACTGGCCATCCTACAATATCTAAACTCTAGGTGTAACCAGCTCTTCAGAAATACCTAACTTATTGGGAGTCAACTGAATTAATGCTATTCAGCCCCTTATGCACCTTGGTACACAAATTGCCTTGCAACTGGAGTGTGCTCACTTTAGCTGAGAAGGTATTCACGAGAGTACCTACAATCTCATGGAAGCATGTTGTAACGACTATGGTCGTTAATCCATATCTGATCAACCAGGCTGTGAGTCATACGTCAGGTTACAAGCAGCCGCGTCCAAGAGCCTGGTTGATCAGTCCAGCAACCACGAGGCCAGGTCGAGGACCGGGCTGTGGGGACATCGAGCCCCGAAATTATTGCAAGGTAACCAAGGTATACCAGACAATTGATTGAGGTGGCTTGCTGGCTGAGCTAGGAGCTCCTGTGCTGCTACCTGGTGGTGGGCATTGCAAACTAGAGGACTAACTACCTAATTTATGGGTGGATTATTTGCTGATTTGAATACTTACCATACTGTTATCTGTTTTGTTTTGTTCTATCTTTCTGGTGGCTATCATGGTGAGGTGATCACAGATTTCCTGCTCTCTGCTCTCCTGCAGATTTCCTGATCACTCTGAGGTGATCAGGTTTTGGCCTTTGTTTAGGCTCTAAATAACTTGCAAGGTCCTCGTTTAACTGATGGATGAGGTGCTAACGAACTCATCTGACTCTACAGACACCATATGAAATATTGTCAAAACAAATGTGAATGTGTTCAAGAAACAATTAGAACAAGTTCCTGCAAGAAGTAATTACCTAAGTGTAGTTATAGGATGAGAGCTACTCTCATGGTGTCATGTTTTCCTAGTACTCTACTTAGAGCAGAGTACTTCCCTGTACTCTGCTCCTGTCTTCCCAGAGCAGAAGTAAAACTCACTCTAGGTATAAACATACCTGAAGCATACCTGGAGAGGGTTTCAAGAGTTCTTCTACTCCTCGAGCCTGGCCTCAGGCCAGGCTCGAACATGCAGAACTGGTTTGAGTAGTTAAGAGTATATCATGTAAAATATGGGATGAGTCCTTACATGAATCATTGTCCTCATCAGATGTGTCTCCGGCGCCACAGTCAGCATCTCCGTCACACACCCATCCCTGCGGCAGGCACTTTGCTGTCAGTCTGCACCGGAACGTCCCACATGGTATTTCCGCTGCAACAGTTGACACATCAATGATAATGCAACCCATCCTTCGGTTTAGATAGTAGTGTTTGCAACTATGTGCACCATAGTACAAAGATTGACATAGTACAATTAGATAGTAGAATTTTGTTCTATTCACTTTCATTTATTCTATAGTCCTAAAAAATGAAGCTAAAAAATGAACATAAATATTCCTAGGCCTAGTATAGCATACATATGTACTATATTAGGCCTCAGATATCGTGCATTAGGCCTAGGAAGGTCAGGTTAGGTTAGCTGAATTTGTCTTTGCAACATAAATATAAAATCTTTTCCGGTTTGTCAAAATTCAATAGTACCAATTTCTACTTTCTAATTGTGTTGTACATTGGTATATGTACTATGGTCCTCATCGTCACTACAAGTACTACCAAAACATGGGCTGAATAATGGAACAGTTACACCTCTTAGGCTTTAAATGGCACGGAAGTTCATTGAATAATATGGTGAACACTAACCAATAAAATCACATTCTTAAATCTGAATTTAAAATTACATTCCAAAACATTTCAAGATATTTTGAGTTTGCTATTGTAAAACTTTATGGTTATGGGTACTGTAAAACTTTTAGGGATGCTACTTTGAGATGGAAAGTCAAGAAAATATTTAGAGTACCACATATGGCTACTATAACAATTCTAAATGGTGACAAATTAGGCAACTTACATTCAAAAAACATTCAAGGTATATAAAAAAATTCTAAAAAAAAAATTGATTGTAATGAAATGCCAAATTCTGGGTGAGCCCCAGTGGCTCACAGAAGATACAATGCTGGCATAGTGCCAAACTACTAGGTGCCATCAGTTCTTTTATTCCTACTGGGGACCATGAGCTAGAACCTGACTCCCTCTCTAATGAGGCACAGAGAGTAGTGGCACTATGATCAATTACTAGTACAGGTACAGTAATTTAATCTTGAGGTTATCTTGAGATGATTTCGGGGCTTTTAGTGTCCCCGCGACCCGGTCCTCGACCAGGCCTCCACCCCCAGGAAGCAGCCCATGACAGCTGACTAACACCCAGGTACCTATTTTACTGCTAGGTAACAGGGGCATAGAGTGAAAGAAACTCTGCCCATTGTTTCTCGCCGGCGCCCGGGATCGAACCCAGGACCACAGGATCACAAGTCCAGTGTGCTGTCCGCTCGGCCGACCGACTCCGCATGTCATGTCATGTTTGCCACCACAGGGAAAGCATCCACAAAATCAGTGAAACAAAACAGACTACAGTTTTATTTCACCCATTTTTGCCGGTCTGCAGTAGGTCCTATGTAAAAAAAAACAGCGTTGAATGTATTTAAACGCCATTTTCTGGGTAAGTCTCAGAGGCTTCCCGGAGCTATCGAGGCTGAATGGATATGTATAACTTTCTGGCATCTGTCAATGTGCATGGAGTACTGAGGTACTCAGTACTGTTGCGTACTGAGGACCATGAGCCAGAACCTGGCCCCCTCAAGAGAGGCCCAAGGAGCAATGGCCTATACCTGCTTGATGGAGTTCTGGGAGTTCTTCTACTCCCCAAGCCCGGCCCGAGGCCAGGCTTGACTTGTGAGAGTTTGGTCCACCAGGCTGTTGCTTGGAGCGGCCCGCAGGCCCACATACCCACCACAGCCCAGCTGGTCTGGAATTTCTTTTAGAAAACAGTCTAGTTGTCTCTTGAAGATGTCCACAGTTGTTCTGCCAATATTTCTTATAATCACTGGGAGGACATTGAACAACTGTGGACCTCTGATGTTTATACAGTGTTCTTTGATTGTGCCTATGGCACCCCTGCTCTTCACTGGTTATATTCTGCATTTTCTTCCATATCGTTCACTCCAGTACGTTTTTTATTTTACTGTGTACATTAGGGACCTGGCCTTCCAGTATTTTCCATGTGTATATTATTTGGTATCTCTCTCGTCTCCTTTCTAGTGAGTACATTTGGAGAGCTTTGAGACGATCCCAATAATTTAGGTGCTTTATCGCATCTATGTGTGCCGTATATGTTTTCTGTATTCCCTCTATTTCAGCAATCTCTCCTGCTGTGAAGGGGGAAGTGAGTACTGAGCAGTACTCAAGACGGGACATCACAAGTGACTTAAAGAGTACTATAGAAACCCCCGTGTGGTTGGGAGCATTCTATGTCTGCCATTGACTGGATCTGGCACCCAGATAGGTAGGCGCCCCAAAACAAACCCCTATTCTGGTGAAATTATTGCTACCGACGAGTGGACAGAACTCCCCAAACGAAAATCAGCAATGAGAAGCCGAGACAACTGGCTGCAACCGCCGACCCAATACAATGCAGGCCCTATGAAGTCCAGGAACATTGACAAGGTAGCGAGCGACCAGGACCCTGTTCGATCTCCAAAAACCTCGTGCCTGAATGTCAACTCAAAAGATGTTGTCAAAGATGTCAGCCAAAGCAGCAAGCTTACGCACGTCACGGGCACGAGGGTAGGCCACAGGCTTGCTAGCCTTAATAATCCTGCGGACAACCTGGGAGACCCAAGCCCGGGAACAGGAAGAAGGGAAACCGGATCAACCCACGGTAAATCCCCGGCCATCAAAGCCATGGCGCACAAATAACACCTGGTTACCTGGTTGATGGGGTTCTGGGAGTTCTTCTACTCCCTAAGCCCGGCCCGAGGCCAGGCTCGACTTGTGAGAGTTTGGTCCACCAGGCTGTTGCTTGGAGTGGCCCGCAGAGCTACATACCCAGACGATCACCAGTTGTGCATCCGCCATGCTGTCTGTTGGGTCGGTGAGTCTTTTGACCCGAAGTCGTGCGACATTTGTTGCCTGTATGTGCTCCAGTTAACCCAAGCTACTGATCATGATTTGAGGGTGCAGGCGGCAGCTGTGTTGCATGCTAGATTTAGGTTGCTGCAACGCGCTAGGTTAGTTGCTTCCACGGATGCCCCAAGACTGCCCTGTTTTGGTTTTAGGGACCCTCCAATCAGATGTAGATCAGGTCTTTCTATGGGCTACAGAAAATAATATGGTGTTTAACGAGGATAAGTTCCAGCTCATGCGCTACGGAAAAATTGAAAATATAAAAACAGAAACCACGTACAAAACTCAGGCAAATCATAACATAGAACGAAAAGGCAATGTAAAGGATCTGGGTGTACTCATGTCGGAAGACCTTACCTTTAAAGAACACAATAAAGTAGCCGTCACAACTGCAAGAAAAATGATAGGTTGGATAACAAGAACTTTTCACACTAGAGATGCTATACCGATGATGATACTTTTCAAAACGCTTGTGCTCTCTAGAGTGGAGTACTGCTGCACAATGACAGCCCCCTTTCAAAGCTGGAGAAATTGCTGACCTGGAGAGCGTGCAGAGATCCTTTACTGCTAGAATCCACTCAGTAAAACATCTAAATTACTGGGACCGACTAAAGAGCCTAAATCTGTACTCCCTTGAGCGCAGGCGGGAGAGATACATAATAATTTACATGTGGAAAATAATTGAGGGGCTGGTCCCAAACCTGCACACACAAATAACATCACATGAGACCAGAAGACATGGCAGGATGTGCAGAATACCCCCGTTGAAAAGCAGAGGTGCAACAGGTACTCTGAGAGAGAACTCTATCAACATCAGAGGCCCGAGACTGTTCAACACGCTTCCACTACACATAAGGGGCATAACTGGCCGACCCCTCACAGTGTTCAAGAGAGAACTGGATAAGCACCTCCAAAGGATACCTGATCAACCAGGCTGTGACTCATACATCAGGCTGCGAGCAGCCGCGTCTAACAGCCTGGTTGATCAGTCCAGCAACCAGGAGGCCTGGTCGACGACCGGGCCGCGGGGACACTAAGCCCCGTAAGCACCTCAAGGTAACCTCAAGGTAAGGTGACCCCCCTCACCAGGCAGAACAACAAAAACAAGAGCAAAACTCCGCAAGAGAACAACATGCCCAGGTGAAACTAAGCTGGCCACTGTAAGAGGTGAAAACTAGCTGTACAGTACCCCCCCCCCCACCCATATCAGTGACGAAAACTACCCTCTACCCAGAGGCAAACATGGGCAACAAAGACCCCAGTTGACTCCAAGGGCGGCCAAGTACCGAGCAGTAAAAGACACAGTGGGGGTAGATCCCGAGGTGACTTGTAGAAGGTGGCCCCAAGCCCCAAGGGTAGTACTTACAGGGCACCTAGGGAAGGTGGCCCTAGGCACATGCAGCCCGAGTACCGAAGAATATTACTCCTGGCTCGCACACCACCAGTAGAAACAGTCCATGTCAAAGGCATAGAAACTGAGACAAATCCCTGGAGCCAGAGGCACAAGACCATGCAATAGCACATCAGCCTGAGACCTACAGGGTGGATTGCCGGCATGAGGGTCTGGGGCTTCCCCTTCCCCCCCTCCCCTTTTGCAACTCCAAATGGCTCGAATAGCCATTCTCCGGCTCTGAATGGGGCTGTTAGTGTGCTACAAAATTCCACCCTAGAGATCATTAGTGTCTTGATAAGTATCATCAGTGCTATAGCATCCATTGTGTGTAAGGTTCTTGTTGTCCAACCTATCATTTTTCTTGCAGTTGTGACAGCTCCTTCATTGTGTTCTTTAAAGGTAAGTTATCTTGAGATGATGTCAGGGCTTAGCGTCTCCGCGGCCCGGTCTTCGACCAGACCTCCTTTTTGTTACACACTCCCAGGAAGCAGCCCGTAGCACCTGACTAACTCCCAAGTGCCTATTTACTGTTAGGTGAACAGGTACATCAGGGTGAAAGAAACTCTGCCCATTTGTTTCCGCCTCCACCGGGGATTGAACCCGGAACCTCAGGACTATAAATCCTGAGCGCAGTCCACTCAGCTTTTTCTTTTATTATTATTTTCTACCACAGACGTGGCCGACATTTACAATGCTAACAAACATGCATACATTTTCTTCTCTCCTCCATGGACAGGGCAAGAGATATGTTAAACATATAGTTCAGTGATTGACTGAACAATCAACCACAGAAGGTGATTGTAGTGCTTTTTAAAGTGCTCAGCTCAGTCAAAATGTGGACAAAATGTCCACTCAGCTCTCAGGCCCCGCATGTTGGTAATCATGTTGATAAGGTCTTCCTACATGATTACTCCTTGATCTTTTATATTTGCTTTTTCGTTCTATAGTGTGATTTAATTCTGTTTTATATATGGTTTCCATTTTTACATTTCGTTTTTTCCATAGCTGGAGCTGGAACTTATTTTCATTAAACAACATATTATTATCTGTTGATAATGCTGGTCAGGTTCTGGCTCGTGGTCCCCGGTAGGCCAATAAGAACTGGTGGCATCAGTTAGTTTAACACTATATCTGCATTGTAACTTAAAAGAGCCACTAGGGGCTTCCCCCAAGAAATTCTGTGGATACGAAGCAAAATTCCAACAAAACCAAATCCAAACTTCTGACTGGTGATACAATTTTGGCAGTTCATATTGGAAAGTAGTGTACAGTACTGTATTATAATTGCTGTAAATTGCTAATAATTTAATTAATAATTGCTAAATTTACCAATTTAGAGCAATTATTTATGGATAAAATGCAGTACTACAAGAAATCAAAAGGAAAATAAAGTACAGTAGTAAAGATTACTTACGACAGTCTAAAGGCTCATCAGAGGCATCCAGACAGTCGGGAGAGTGGTCACACTTCCAGCTGATTGGAATGCATTTAAGTCCATCAGCACATGCAAACTCCTCGTCCAGGCATTGAACTGCAAAGAGAGAACATGGTATTTAAACATGGAAACTCAATGTATACAGCAATATACAGCACTGGATATCATGTGGGATAAATGGGAACCTTCAGTTGAATACAATATAATTTCTTGGAATGTGGGCTTCTTTAGGGGTAAGTTATGTGGGATTAATGGTTAAATTTCTAAGAACTTTCAGCAGCTGTATTAAGGGTAACACAGTCACTTCAGGTGTCATTGAGGAGGAAAGTCTGGGTTCTGGTTGAATTTGTCCTTAAACCTGATGACTATTGCAGGTATAATATGTTGATGGCATTATCTTGCAGGTACCTGAAAGGGTACACTTGTTCTACTTAAGAAAGCTATACCCATGCTTAGATTTACTTGTGAGTGAGTGAAAGTAAGCTACAATAGTCTCAGAAATAATGGTTTCAGACCTTACTTAACAGGACATGTAAAGTGTTGTTGGTGCCTATGACTGACTTGGCATATAATTGTCAACAATGGATCAGCTAATGGTTATCTGGGGGAGATGAAAAGAATGGTGAACCACCATGCCCCCACTGATAAAGTCAACACCACTGTCAAAAAGTACTTTCCTTACACCACCTTTGTGTGCAATAATGCCAGTGTAATATGACCAACTGCCCATACAGGGTATCAACAAGAGTCAAGTGCACAGAACAACAGAATAGAATCCAAATGAATTCTGCTAGATTATAGGTCATGTCTAACTCAACCTGTGAAGAAGGGGAATTACAGTTTCAGTTCCATCAATATTTATTTGATGTGTGGCTAGCATAATGTTTCCCTTTAATGGCAACAACAGATTTATATTTGAGGGAGAAGAGGGGTTCACTAGTACAACCTTGTGTAAATTACATGGCATTGAGAAATAGAGTTACAGTATGGAGCATGCTACAACTACTGATGCCATATTGTAATAGTTTATGCCTGTCAACCTTAAGTGTTACTTTTCTTGCATTCATTTGTTATTTTCCATGATCGTTCTCATTTTGTTAACTTGCTTCTCCTTAGTGAGATGAGAACAAATGGACGATGTAAATATGATCAACGAGGAGTCGCTGAGCCACGACATCACCTCAAGGTAACCTCAAGGTATCCCAGAAAGTGCAGGAACCTTCTAAGAACAGGTAAATGTACCAAAAGCTGTGATCTCTTTCACCCAGAACTGTACAAGAACTCTTTAAATAAGAATATATGTTTCAACACAGAATGTCCAGCTTTTCATACAAGAGGTACCAGGTGAATCAGACTGACAGACCGCCTTGATGAAAGCAGCCACAACACTATTTAACAGGAAGATTTTTTAGGAAGAGGAGGAGGAGAAGAATGGCTAAAAACGTCCAGACTCTACCACCAACTTGGTCAAAGGCTGGAGAGGACGCAAACACAGTGGCCTCCTTACCAGAGCCTCAGATACAAACACAAAGTAAAGCATCCAGCACTTCAACAAACATAACATCATTTTTATTTGCCAACATTCTGGGTATAAAAATACGCAAATCTAACAAAGTGCACTTCAAAGATGGCCTCTTACATGAGGCAAATAGATGTGACAGGAAACACAGGCTACAGGGTGGGGGTCAGCCTGTACATCAAGGACACACTTATCTGCACTGAGCTGCTAAACACCACAAATGATATGGTGGAAGTGTTGATAATGAAAATAGAGATCTTAAATGTGTATGTCCTTGAAGCCATAGACAGCCGGTGGCTGAGCAGACAGAACACTGGACGCATGATCCTGTGGTCCCGGTTTCCATCCCGGGTGCCGGCAAGAAACAATGGGCAGAGTTTCTTTGACCCTGATGCCCCTGATGCCTCTGTTACCTAGCAGTAAACAGGTACCTGGGAGTTGGTCAGCTGTCACACGGGCTGCTTCCTGGGGGGGTGGAAGCCTGGTCGAGGACTGGACCATGGGGATACTATAGCCCCGAAATCATCTCAAGATAACCTCTAGATAAGATTGTATATAAGTCATCAGAGGCAAATCATCAGCAGTTTAAAGACCAACTAATGAAAATAGAACACTGCTAAGAAAACCTCACAAATCCAGCCCCAATCATCATCCTGCTTGGGGATTTTAACCTATGGCACCTGAAATAGAAGACCCTAGTTAGCTAATACAGTTATATCAGAGAGAATTCCGAGAAGTAGCCTAAATGAACAGTCACATGCAAATGACCTGCTACAGATGTGCGACAGATTTACCTTAAACCAGCAAATAGTAGAACCAACTAGGAAGGAGAACATGCTGGACCTCATTTTCATTAATAATGGTGAATTGATCAGGAACATAATGATTACAAATACCTGTTACTCAGATCACAACTTAATTGACGTTCTGACAAGCATGGGGAATAGACCTTCAAAATCAGTCCCGATTCCCGATGGAGGAGATTTCAACAAATTCAACTTCAATAATAAACAGATAAACTGGGAGCAAATAAACCAAGACTTCACAGAAATAAGCTGGGAAGAACAGCTAGAGAAGGCAAACCTGAACCAGTGCCTGGAAAAAATAAGCTCAGTAGCACAGGAAATATGTTCAAACCGCATACCCCTAAGAAAAAAGAGGAAGAGATGCAGATTGGAACGGGAATGTCGTTCCCTCTATAGGTGAAGAAAACAAATCGCGGAACAACTTGAGAGTCGCACCCTATCTCATGAACGGTGAAGAAGAAGGTAGAGAAATAGAAACAATTGAACTAAAGCTACAAGAATCATACAAAACTCAGGAGAGGCAGAGAGAGAGCAAAAGACCATCAGTGAAATAGAGAGAAATCCGAAATATTTTTTCTCCTATGCAAAATCAAGATAAAAAACCACATCTGGTATCAGGCCCCTGTGAAAGGGAGATGGAACTTTCACAGATAACAACAAAGAAATGAGCAAAATTCTGAGGAATCAGTACGACTTTGTTTTCAGCGAGCCACTAAATACACTAAAGATTGATAACCCAAATGAATTTTTCATGGATATAATACCAACATCAAATCATATACAGTATAAGATGTCACCCTATCCCCACTGGAATTTGAAGAAGCCATAGACAGTATGCCTATGCACTCTGCACCAGGCCCTGATTCTTGGAACTCTATATTCATCAAGAACTGTAAAAAAACACTATCGCAGGCCCTTCACATTCTTTGGAGACAAAGCCTAGATACTGGCATTATCATTGACATACTAAAAACAGCAGAGATAGCACCCAATCCATAAAAGGGAAAATAAGGCAGAGGCAAAAAATTACAGACCGATAGCACTAACATCACACATCATAAAAATCTTTGAGAGAGTGCGAAGATCACAAAATACCCAGTACAGTGGCACCTCGACATACGATTGCCCCTACTTACGATAATTTAGAGTTACGATGTAAATTTCATCGAAAAATGCGACTCGAGATCCGATTATGTCGTCGACTTCCGATATTTGTTGGTACACGTTCGGGTCGACCGAGCGCGTGGTTCCCGGTCACGCGACCGACCTGCCTCAGTTTACTACAGCTGCCCGCTTAGTGATTTTTTGCATTTTGAACATTAAAGTAACTATTATATATCACGCCATGAGTCCCAGGAAAGTCAGTTGTAAGGCTCAACATATAAAAACCCATGTAAGGATGACCATAGAACAGAAACAAGAGTACAGAATGTCTCTTCCTCAACAATTAATAAAATGTGTACAGCATGGGAAGAATTGCAAACCTTTGCTGAAACGACTCACCCAAATCAAGCTGTAGTAGGTCGATGCCTTAACCTATTCAATGACACTGTGATGCATCATTGCAGACAAATGTTAAAACGAAGGGAAAAACAAATGTCTCTTGACAAATTTGTTGTGAGACAAACAAGCACTGAACCACAACCAGGTCCTAGTGGTATTCTGGCAAAACGTAGGAGAGTGAGTAAACCAGAGAAAACATCACTGCCTGATGTGATAATGGAAGGGGACTCCCCTTCCAAACAGGAACAACTCTCCTCCTCCCCCCTCATCACCATCTTCCATACGCCATCAAGAACCCTTCATAAAGGTAAGAAAACCTTTGGTACTGTATTGTAGTTAGAAAAAAACATTGTATTCAGTATAAAATGTATTTGTATGTTAATATTTTGGAGGGCGGGGAACGGATTAATTCAATTCCCTTTATTTCTTATGGGAAAAATCGCTTCGACTTACGATATTTCGACTTACGATCCATCTCTGGGAACAGATTAGCATCGTAAGTCGAGGCCCCACTGTACATGGAATCACAGCATCTCCATAACTCCGGACAACATGGTTTCAGAACAGGGAACTCTTGCCTATCACAGTTGCTGGTCCACTATGATATGGCACTAGATGCCATGGAAGACAAACAAAACGCTGGTGTAATTTACACAGATTTCACAAAAGCCTTCGACAAACGTGACCATGGTGTTATTGCACACAAAATGCGTTCAAAAGGAATTACCGGAAAAATAGGCAGATGGATCTACAATTTCCTGACTAATAGAACCCAATGTGTAATAGTTAACAAAATAATTCACCTCCATCAACCATGAAGAGCTCAGTCTCCCCAGGGTACCGTGCTTGCTCCAGTACTCTTTCTCATTCTCATATCGGACATAGACAAGGACACAACCTATAGTACTGTAACATCTTTTGCAGATGACACTAGGATTTTTATTTGAGTAGACAACATAGAGGACATGGCAAACCTCCAATCAGATGTAAATCAGGTCTTTCTATGGGCTACAGAAAATAATATATTGTTTAACGAAGTTAAGTTCCAGCTCATGAGCTACGGAAAAAATTAAAATATAAAAAATGGAAACCACGTACAAAACGCAGTCAAATCATAGCATAGAACGAAAAGGCAATGTAAAGGATTTGGGTGTACTCATGTCGGAAGACCTTACCTTTAAATAACACAATAAAGTAGTTGTCACAACTGCAAGAAAAATGATAAGTTGGATAACAAGAACCTTTCACACTAGAGATGCTATGATGAT